ATATATGACACAGTTAATCCGACAGTAATATGTAATAACTGTACACTAAGAAAATATCTTCACAGAGAGTTAATTCTACTTTTCTTATACTGTATATAATTATCTACACACACAGTATTACAATATGTATTATTTCAACTTCGAACCATGTAATATGACTACTAAAGCACTATTGTATTATATAACTCATTAAAATTACACTACAGTAGTTGCAACTGGGTAACACCAAACATTTCTGAAGCGTGAAGGGTAAAACATTATAAAAATTAAAATAATCGAAGTGTGTACAATCTTCATAAATTTTAACGTTGAACATTACACCATCAAGTCAAAACCACAAGTAAGGGAAAGATACATTTGTGGTGACCGAATTTCCAGTAGCTATTAAGTCCTTTATGTTCCGACGTCAACCATTTCCTTGACGTTGTCTCCGATATGGTTTATCTGAACAAAAAAGTGTGTAATTTCCGGAGAAGTTCAAGTACGTTTATGCAGTTATGAATTTATATGTTTATTATTATCCATCTTCCTAAAAAGAAACTTTCAAATGCGTCGTAAGTGTCATTAACCATTGCAGATTTGCATATTTCCTCCAAGGATGTTTAAGCGTAGGCCTACGGGTTCACTTCTAGGCAATACAATTTATCACCAACACGAGTCCGGCGAACATAGCACACAGCATGGTTGGTAAGGCATGCAAAGTTGTCGAACCGTTGCACTGGTCTGTAGAACAGCAGTAAACGCATGACCCAGTGCCCAATATTTTGTTACAGCCCTGTAAACAACTTGCACTGCAGCTTCTCTCAACTGAAACTATCTCGTCAAACAGTGTGACAATCTCTTTCTATGAAAACAATATTAAAATCATGAGCAACGGCACTCGCCAATAATTTTGCTTAAGCCGGTTAAGGTCACCGAGAGAATATAATTACCCCGGGAATTAATGGAAACGGGCCGCCGCAGAACCCTATACGAACACTCATAATTAGTTTTCGTATTTGCAAATTTTGTAATATTAGGCAAACTAATAGTAAATCGTCATGTCGTTAGATTAGAAGATACAAAATTCAACTTGGACAAATTGAACACATGAGTAGATTTGTAGGCCTAATCATAGGCCTAATACAACTCATAATACCTAATACTGATGATAAATAGAATAATCCATTAAGCCTTGTGTAGACTATCAAATTTTATTTGACAAAAGCACGTGACATGCCTAAATATACTCATAATGACGTGACATCACGAACATATCGTGACTATGTGCGTACAACAGATTTGTCAAGAAAATTTGGTAATCTTGACAGAAATTAAAGAAATGTAGCCATAACTTACCTTACAATAAGAACTACACTGAGTAACATTGATATCATTTTGAGGAACTCCAAGCAAAAACTGACTGTCAGTGCAAGTATCTTCCTCAACAGTCAGAGTTGAGTAGCTGCATTTGTAACATTCAAAGGACGCCACAACTAATGGATTAAGATTTAAAAATGGAGGAATTAGCACATAATGCATTAATCTAATCAACAGTTTTAGATGATTACCGAGGCTGTGTACAGTAGGCCCCTACGGTATTCACGAATGTGTTTGGCTGTCTGTTTGTTAATAGAGTTATACAAAATTAAATGTTGTGGATGAAAAAACTCTCTGTGTGTTCAGTGCGCCAAATTAACACACACAAGAACCACGACTAACCCTACCTAAGGTCAATCACCTAAAATGATGGGTAACAAAACGCAACCCAAACATGCCACGTTTTACCAAGAGAAAAATACCTCCTTGTTTTTACCTTCCCTCATTTAGTTGAGTCTACGTTTGAAGCGTGTTAGTTAATTTGGCCCCATACGGTTCAGTGTAGCACCGTAAATAACCCGAATTGATGCAAACACAAGCCACTATTGTTGTGTGGATGCTTGCGTTTCAATGCGTTTGTGCTTTAAAATTTGTGGGCGCGGTGTTTCTTGAGTTAGCACACAAAAAACGCGTGATTTGGTCTCGAACTTGAACTCTCGATGAGCACTATTACATGTTCGTGGTGGTACTGAATTAATTTTCCCAAGAGTTCCTTTGACGAAATGGGTTGGTTAAATGAAATTTGTCAAGGAATCTATTTAAGTGACATTCACGCAGAACCAATTCATGCTGCCAAGAGAGAGAGAGGTGGGGGGAGAGCGGCCGCAATATGGCATGGCGCGGTTCGCAATAAACTTAATTTAGATGCGTTTTAAAAAAACAAGCAAGTTTAGCCTACTAACCACAGTCGATTTGCATTGTAAACCACTTTGATATTTAAGGCATTCTGACGCAAGTTTAACCCGGCGATACGCAGGAAATGAGATAAGTAAAGTTCACTGTCAAGTGTGTTTCCATAGCTTACAGAACGAAATGTTCATAAGTTGAGAGCAGCAGATCTAAAGCGAAGTAATAGGTAGGGCATGAGGCAGTAGGGGCTGAGTCACAACGATCACAAGATTGAAAGTGGTGAGAACTTGGTGATTGATTCTCATTTACCTTAAAACTTCTAATAGAAACCCAGTACTCCAATGATAACCAATGCTTTAATAGTAACCAACTTATAAGTATCTATAATAATGACCCACTACTCTAATAGTAAACCACTGGAATTATAGAGTGTCAAAACTCCATACACATTATAGGCCTACAAATGATTGTAAAATCAACATTTATAGGGAGTTTTCGCAAGCTTACAAAAACAATAACGAATACGGTTATGTCATTAAATTTCTAAAGCATATATGTTAGGCGATTCTTTTTTTTTTTTTTTTTTTTTTTTTTTTTGCATGAATCAGTGATCACATTCAGCGTACAACATATTGTCAAAAATGTTTCATGCACGAATGACGATAACGATAAATTCATAATACAATTTATATAAATATATAGGCTATGTATATAGCCTATATATAGCCAATAGGCCATAAGATAAGATAAGATAAGATAAGATAACTTTATTGTTCCACAAGGGAAATTCTTCTGCTCGTCATCACATACAGTATTATATTAACAAATGTAAAACAAATATAAAAACATACAAAACAGTCACTAAAGAAAATATAACAATAGGCCTACACAAGTAAAATACAATGACTACCATCGATAAAATAAATTGAATTACAATAATGATTATTTTTATTATTCTTATTCTTATTATTATTATTATTATTATTATTATTATTACAATGCATGAATCAGTGATTACATTCAGCGTACAGCATATTGTCAAAAATGTTTCATGCACGAATGACGATAACGATAAATGACGTATTCGTTATCGTTTTCGCAAGTTTGCAAAATCTCCTAATATTTTTTTTATAAAACTGTGAATGAATACTCCTGTAGGCCTATATGATATTTGTTTTGAATACTGTGAACCAACTTAAATACTAAAACAAAGAAATAGTGACCCTGGATTTTTATTAGAAGTTTTACGTTATCTCAAGTTGTGCTGGTTCTCTTCATTGGTTGCGCTGTACACAGATGAGGATAGTTGTACAAAAGGTAGAATATACAGTAATATTCAGGATGGATGTTTTGACGTTTTCATGAATGTCCCATGCTTACTCAATTATGATGGCAGCCCACATCCTCAGAACTATCTCCCTGTCAAAACGTTTTAGATAAATCAGTAACGCGCATTCTCGAATGATATAATGAGTCGAGTCCGCCAACACGGTTTTCAAAAAGCACACTGCGCACAGAACAGCACATAGCTTTGAACAGTTTTGGCGCCACTGGCGAACCCTCCAACACATAGTAATATATAATATAAATCATTCAAATTTTACCTGTTATTGACATGAGCAGGAAAACGAAGCCAAGTGGTGCATTCATGATTATTATTCAATTATCCTATATAGGATGCTAGATGTAGAAAACAAAGAAATGAAAATATAGCCTCATTAATACAATCTATGTACTTCTAATTAGGCCACACAAAATATCACAACTTAATAATAAAGATAATAATAATAATAATAATTAATATTATTATTATTAGTATTATAAGATTGTATGTTCTCAACTTTTGATAAAGATGATAACATACAGGAAGATATGATCACATTACAGCGGTAATGCTGTAATGATATATAAATTTTGAACGTTAAAGAAGAGGAATCTGTGAGTGTGAAATATTATTATTATTATTATTATTATTATTGATTCTTTTCCAGCCTTTTTGTCTATAGGTCTATCAGCATACACACCCATCATGTAGGTAGGCTTATATCTATAGCCTTCTGAATGCATGTAGAACGGATTGTCACATGTTAAATGCTCTACTTCCCGTACAGTTTTAAATAATTTTAAAAATCTGGCTTAAGAAATTCAAATACAAGACGATTTGAAGAGGTCATCTTAAGAAGTGGACTGGTAGGCAACTGATAATGATAATGATGATTGATAATAATTATTGTAATTTTTAATTTGTTATAACTGTCATTGGTGAACTATTTATTTTTAAGTGTTTACCTACCAACTTAATGGATGTATAGGCCTATTAATTTTGGAACAATAAGCTTAAAAATGTATTGTCCCATGCAAAATACCATTTTAAAGTAACATAAACCAGGGAACAGTGAAAATTTAACTGTTCCCTGCATAAACCATTTTTAAGTAACACAAACAGAGACTTTCTCAACTACAACAGTTTTGGGGTTTTTTTTCAGGACTACCTACGTGGCGTACCTTTAAACAACATAGGACCATTATCAACTTGAAAATATTGAGTAGTAAACTAAAAAAATGTTAGTGCATCATCAACACTGTTGCTTAGAGACCGAGTTACAAACGAATAATAGGTAGCCTTCGGCCATTGAATCTGTTTGACTCTCGTTTACATTCAGTATATACTGACTCATTTTTTGTCGACGCTGATTGGTCAGATGAATCATAGTTGGATCAAGTAGCGTTCCCGATTAAATTGCGTCAGGGACATATACGCAAGTGTAACGATTGTAATGGGAAAAAAAACTAACTGTAGCTACAGTGTAATTTAAAGTAGCAAAACATTATTTATAAATAATTGAAGTGCCGAAATTCATTATATATAAATAATGATTATTTATAAATAAGGAAAATCGCTCCGCCAATTATTTATATATAATTCTTGGAAGCGAAACTAATTATGTGAAAAAATGTTGAATTATATATTAAATAATGAATTATATGTATATAATTTTGTTAAATAATGAAAGTACATCTGGCGCCTCATATATGGAAACCAAGCTTTAATCTTTTTTTGGGTCGATTTACAATTTCGACAGAGGACTTCAGTTTTACTGTTACGTTCAAAATTTGTTCCTTTATTTCTACACGAACGTCTAAACAAGTCATATTTAAGTTATATTATGTTATTATCTTATATTGTACTTTTGTTAGATAAAATATTAAAGTTTTAACTGATTAATAGCAGGCCTATACCCATCGGGAAAAAATAATAAAACAAAACGTGCGGAGAAATAGCTACTTGAGAATATTTTGTGAACCAATAGTCCTCATGTATCTATAAGACTCTGCCGAACTAATAAATGAAATTTAAGCCGACCGGGCACTCATTGCAACCGACGATCGTCGGCCTACTCGATATTTATATAGAAGCAACGGATCGTTTTTAATGACGATCTGTCCAGACTGCTGCTACCGACAATCAGCAGACGGCGTCGCGCCGTCTAGCGCTGTGGCACAGGGACCGGAGGTACATTCGACCCAGTGAGTGACTAGCTTTATAAGCGCAAGTCACTTTGATAATAGTATAATACACATACTCCAAGTATTGAAATGCACGCCATCGTGTCAAATATTCAATATTTCGACATTAGGTTATGTCCCACGTCATCATCAGGAATTCCTGATGATGACATAATGTCGAAATAGTGAATCCCCACACGATGGCGTGCATTTCTATACCTGGAGTATGTATTATACTATCTTATCTGAGATTAATCAGTGGACCTTTCGGTTTTTACTTTGATATACTCCATATAAATTAAGATCAAATATGATATTAACAAGAACATTTCACAAGAAAAAAACTCATTTATGTTGTCTTACCTTCTATTCGACTAAAAGACAGGTGTGGATGCGGAAGCCTATATTATTGCCGGGATACAAATACCTGCGATAACATTGTGAAAAGCTGTTCTTAGAGTTTGTCGGTTGCCACAGCAATATTATTGAACAAAATCAGCAATCAAAATCGTTGATAATAAGCTGATTGCTGATTGGTTGAGTAAGACGTCACACTTCATACTCAACTAACCATGAGATAATCCCACTTATCTCGTCCATTTAAAATGGTATGGTGATCTATTGTTACACAAAAATGAAACATGAGCTCAAAAAGGTCTCAAAAAGGGTTTTAAATAATATAAGGTAATACTTTCTTTACAGAGGGTGGTTGATAAGTTGACTATGGAATTCCTAAAGGCGTGATAAATTAATAGTAGGCCTAAGGCGGATTAACAAAAACAGGGAAGAAAATAGATAAGGAGCATTAAAAAAGCACCACCACACACCTAAGTTTAAGTGTAGGTTTTAATTTAGACCAACAGAGATTCCAAGTTGGACAAATTTGCACAGGCGTGAAAAATGTATACTGGTGCATCGGAAATATCTAGGCCCTACTACAAGTGAAGGAATTTTTTGGAATTTTACCGATGCTCATCAGAATTGATTGTTATAAACGTGAGATATCATTGTACATAGGTAGATGAGAAACTATATAACAAACCGGTTAGTCAAAGCATGGTCAGAGCTAAATTTTGGTACAAGATGTTAGTTGGGACAAATGTCTGCTGGGCCGAGTTGTCTGACACTGAGATAATTTATATTGGTCCGAAGTGACTGATATTCCCAAAACCAATCCTAAAAGTACTGTACATGGCGAATGTTTATTAATAGCTCAAAAGTCGAAAATAGTACACATATGTTTTAGTAATAGGCAATAGCCTAAATTTATGCGTCAGCTTGTGTCTGTAAATATGTATATATATATATCTGTCTCTTATACACATCTAGATGTGTATAAGAGACAGCCTAAATCATCTTGCGGTAATGACAGATATAATATAGTCACCATATTATCTTCTTCTTCTTCAGCTCCCAGAT